AGACCGACGGGGCCTGCAAGGCCTCCAGCCTTACACAACCATCTGGTCCATGGTGTCAACACCTCCTTGGTCTTGTAGAATGTGATGGTAAATGGACTGCATTTATATAGCACTTTTCTACTCCTACGAGTACTCAAAGCGCTTTACAGTTTATGCCTCACATTCACCCATCCACACACACATCCACACACAGTTGATCACTTCTGGTTTTTTCTTTCTGCTGTTTTCATCCGCCATTTTGTTGTGGTGCATCGTGCTCAGGAGGGCAACAGCCATTTCTTTCTTTCTGACATAGCTGGCCATGGTAATGCTGCAATTGAATCCAAACTCTGTGCTGTGAACCTCCCTGGACTTGGAAGCCTTCATCAGAGGAGGGATGTCTGGCTTGTTCAGTCTTAGAGTCCCCACAATAGTGAGATTCATTTCCAGGAGATGCTGTGCAATAGGCACACTGGTGAAAAAGTTATCTGTGGTGATGTTGCGACCTGTGTTTCTGAATCTACTGCACAACTGCAGGACAATGTTTCCCCCCAGATTCTTCTGAACTTCTTTCCCTGGTTGTCTCCCTGTGTAAACCATCCCATCTATTGCGTATGGGATGCGTGCATCAGGTCTTGCTGTGTAAAATAATCTTCCTGATCGGTGACACTTCTGACATAGGGTGTGTGGTCCACAGTAAATATATCCCAGACAGCCACAATTGCTAAGAATCACAGGTTCCCATGAAATTGTATGGGAAATGCAGGTGGGTCATTTTTGACCCACTTATGGAAGCTTGGGGTAGTAATACAAATATTACAATTTCTTAAAAAGTATTAGAGGTAACTTAAAATTTTTAATGGAATGATATCAAAATCATGTTATTTGAGGAATACCTGGAATATGAAACGATAACAACTTTTCATTACAAAGTTATTGCAAGAAATCGACCATACTGGGTCATTTTTGACCCACTTGTGCATCCTAGGGTTGTGCACTTGTTCTTTGGATTCAGTTGTTTTGCTTTTTTTAATTGTTTTTGAGCCCATAGGATAACCTGGGATTTCGGAATCAAAGGCCTGCCACTCACTCACTTTGCGTTCCTTTGCAACCAAACTCTTTCCCCCCTTATTCCCTCATCCCTCCATTCTTAACATTCTAACTCAGGCCATACCTCCCAACATGATTTGAAAACTGACTTATTGTTTTGTCATTTTTTATCCCTCCATCCTCCCATCGACTCACATTATTTTTTCAGAGGCTTTTACTAGACACTGAACATGCCACAGCCACCAAACTTCATCTGCAGCATCAGGCCAAGTCAATGACATCTCACAGCAGGCTGAATAGGCCTGCACTAATTTTTTTGTCATTTTGAAAAATTTTGATGCAGGGCAATCACACTCTCATTTTCTTCAGGAAATGCACTTTTCTATTTCTGAGGTGTCTGATAAAATTATTGCACAACATGAAAATATAATTTATTAGAGATCAAAAATCCTGAGATATTGTAATTGTAAACTCAGCTGATTGTTTTCCCTGCAGGTGCTGAGAGTGTGTCCAATATTATATAAAGCGAAGTACTGTAACATACAGTGTAGTGGTACTGACTCTGGATTAATATGTGTATAATATTGTAAGAGGGAGTGAGAATTAATCAGCCTGGTAATTTTCATACTGTCCCTGCAGGTGTGTCCACAGTGAAA